TATGCTGCTGGAAACACGTGATACTGGAAAGGCTTTGACCAATCACCCCCCCCCCCCCGGTCTTTTTTGTAAGAAAAAGAAAAAAAATTGTTTATTAAATCAGTACAATTTATAAAAATGAGGATGGTGGAAATGTTTCGTCAAAAAGCCTGATATTCACTTTCCACTTTTACCCTTTATGCTTTTTATTTTTCTAATTTTATTTAATTAATGGTTAATACTTGTAATTGGATAAAGCAAATAAAATAATAATAAAACCGCTACGGAACCTACTCCTCTCTTTCCTTAGGCCTTATCTCATCTTCTCCTGAAGCACCTACCTGACGAACCTCTTCACTGATTAGAGCCAACACATGTCAAGTATTGGATGGTTTGCCTAAATCACGAATTCGAATTGGAGGAATGAATTTTTTCGACCTCTCTATTTTCATCATCGAACAATCAATTAGATGATTAAATGATTTTTTTTTGTTTTCTCCCTATTCTTCAGGTATTTTTCCCATTTCCCTTCTATTTTGATTGTCTCCGTTAATGTAATAAGTTATGTGATCGGGAAATGCTTTTATGTTCATTATATTGATTTTCATTTTAGGGTGTTTTTTCTCAAAAATCATCAAGCCAGTCTAATAATCTAACACCCTACCAACGTAATATTGTAGGGGTTTGGAATGAGTTTTGTTAGTAGGAGATTCAGACTCTTCTATATAAACCGGATGGATGTTCGATTTGAATCTAAAGTGAATAGGAGACCCACCATTGATGAGCAGAATAGGAGGCAAAATGCCAAATGTCATTGTTCACACATGAAGGGAAGACATAAATTCTAAAACCCCAATTCTTCCTTTGAACCCCTCTCTGTATAGTGTATATCTTATTCATTCCCCCTACTTTACATTAGGAAGGAGGAAACAAAAATGGCGTCTCTCTTATACTATGCACCTTTCTCTTCAAAATGAACAAAAAAACAATATAAATTAAAAAAAAACAAAGAAATGAACAAAAAAATTACAAAAAATATAGAGAAAATCATAAAAGTTTTTATACCATACTAGAAAAACGAGAATTTTGCAATTGGTTTGATCAAAACACCATGATTTTACTTCCAACTTTACCCTCAACTTTCTATTTTTTTCCCATTGTATATATTGTCATTGCAAAATAATTATGAAAGGCATAAAATGAAGAAAATAATATAAATTACAAAAAACAAAGAAATACATATAAAATTTATAAAAAATATAAAAAATCATAGAAATTTCTATGCCATACTAAAAAAATGAGAATGTTGCAATTGGTTTGATCAAAACACCCTAATTTTACTTTCCAACTTTACCCTCAACTTTCTGTTTTTTTCCATTGTATATATGTCATTACAAAATAATTATGAAAAAACACAATAAATGGAGAAAATAATATAAATTACAACAAATAAAGAAATACATAGAAAATTTGCAAAAAAAATATAGAAAATCATAAAAATTGAAGAAAAATAACATAAATTACAAATGTATACCATACTGAAAAATGAGAATGTTGTAATTGGTTTGCAAAATAATTGTGAAAAAACACATAAAATGAAGAAAATAATATAAATTACAAAAAACAAAGAAACACAGATAAAATTTACAAAAAAAAAATTATAGAAAATCATAAAAATTGAAGAAAAATCATAAATTACAAAAAACAAAGAAAACCATAAATTACAAAAAATGAACAAAATTTGTAAAATAAAATAAAAAATTATATCTACTTTCATTTATAAAAAAAATGAGAATGATTCAATTAGTGTGGTCCAAAGACCCTGATTTTTCATATTAATTCTACCCCTTAGTTTTTTGGTTATTCAGACATATCCCAATTCTATACGAGGGTGCATGATAGTTGTTGGAAAAAAAAAAAACATTGTCTTTTCTTAAAAGCCATTGGATGGGTTAGGTACTTAGGTTTGGGTTGAGATTCAACCTAACCCACTTGACCCATCAACCCACTAATGCCCCATTTTGGGTTCAACTCAAACCCACCATAACCCAACCTATTAGTTTTTCACATAATACATAAATTCTAGAACATATAACTATAAAAAATGCATAATATATAAATAAAGATAGAAAAAGTAGAAAATAACATAAATTAAAGAAAAAAAATAAAAATTACAAAATAATTACGAAAAACATAAAATGAGAAAATAATATAAATTACAAAAAACAAAGAAATATGCAAAAAATTAAAAAAAAATGTAAAAATCATAAAAATTGATGAAAAATAACAGAAATTACAAAAAACAAAGAAAAACCATAAATTACAAAAAAATGAAAATACAAAAATTTCATTCCATGGGCATTTGGTCACTAGGACTGTATGTTATCATGTGTGTGATTGGCCATTAGGATCGTATGCTATCATGTGTGCGGTTGTTAAGTAGGGTCTGCAACTCATGTCCTTAGTGGTATGCAACACTGTGACACATTATGAATTGTTCGATTGTTTTATTTTTGGACAAATGTGTGGAGGTGCTCAACATGCCTAAAAGGTGTTTGCATAAATGCTACTTTAGTTGTTGGTTGATAAATTTTACTTACAACTATTTTTTTTTACCTCCTCTTAGTTAAAAAGTAAGAAGAAAATGTTTTTAGGATTAAATGTAAGTTATTTAATAGTCGTCTTAAATAATGACTTCTGCCATTCAATGGTTACTTGAGTAAATTAACATAATAGCTTAGTTTACTTCTAACCATTAATAGGCCTCCTATTCTCCATAAATTTTGTGTTTCATTGGGATGAATTGTATCTATATATAATGTTGTTGAATGTAATTTTATCTTTTGGTTTGGTGCATTAATGTTTCGATCTGATGCATTTGCAACTAACATTATATGCATACTATAAAATCTAGATCTTGACATTTTGTAAGGATAGTCTTAGGACTTGAACGGTATGTAAACCTTCATCTATGCCTAAGATATAAAAGCATAATCAAACATCACGTCAATATCAAATACCCAGTGCATTGCACAGGCCATTCCACTAGTGATTATGAAAAAGGGGGATATGTAACTTGACCCTAAAGGCTCAATAACTTATAACTAGGAAAAATAATCCTCAAGAGCAAAAAAGCCACCCACCCTCCCCCATGATATGATACTGGCTGGCTCATTCCAGTGTTATAATCAAACCCAAAATATAAAAATCAAAGTTAATAAGTAATTAAGGGGGGATATTTGTCACATCAGCAAAAACAATTAATATGATTTTACAGATGTAGTATTTGGTTTTGTTTTGTAAAACAAAATCATGTTATCTGGATCTCATAAACTTAAGGCTTTGTGCTAAACTGTACAATACCAATGAGAATTCCTTAAAATTCACAAGGTGCATGGTTTTGATTGGTCAGGCTTTCAAAAGGAAAGCTGGGTGAAAATATTTGCTTGTTTTCTCCTGTTTTTTTCTCCCTCGATCCATCAACTCCCCGACCTTGGCCTCCTTTTGTGGTATAAATGAATGCAACAATGGGGGACCAAATCCAGAAGCTCACTTTGAGCATCTCTTATATATCTTTGTTTGCCACCAAATGAAGCCCCTCATAGATGAGGATCTTTCCACGACTGCAATCATGAAGGAAAGGATTTCACCGATTGGACAATTGTGGATAGTAAGATCAACACAGTTCTTCCCTGATGGCAAAATGGCAGTGACTCTCTTAGATGCTCTCATTTGGCTGTTCCGAATTGCTTTAATTTGTTCTATCCGACCTCAACTTCACCCCAACTTGCAGTGATATTGATCCATAGTGGTCCACAACACACTCCCACAAGCTTTTTTTCTTATAATATTTGAGGTTAGAATTTCCTGATTATGGCTTTATCAAGCTTTAAAAAAGAAAGAAAATGAGATAGTTCGGAATAGAGAAAAACCTACTGCTCCTTTCACCTCTTAAACTACTCAAGTAATTGATTTTATTTGCATGGTCTGATCTCGTGGGGTCAAACCCAGCTAATTATCCAGCAAAAGGTGGAATTTGCGGTCAACAATGGCTAGTCTTCTGAACCTCTCAGTCTAAACTACTGTGTAAAAGTAAGGTTATAATGAGACGGCTCAAAAGTATTCAAGCCAATTTTGATCAAGTCTGGAGGCCTGAGACTCTGAGTCAAAACAAGTTTTAGACTTTTAGTGAACAAATTGACTATCTTTACAGTGCTCATCCCACTTGGGGACAAATATCGAATTTGAATTCATCCAGTAGAATTTTATCTGGTCTATGTGCAAGTGATGAAGAAGCAAGATATCGATAAGAGTAAGGACAACATTGGCAGTAGACAACCGAATTCATCAATGGGTCCCCTACTGTTAAGCCTTCAAGCATGTGGACCCAAAGTAGTGACGTGAAATGCACCAAGTTCATGCATTCTCTGAGTACAGGAATCTTTATTAAGTGTCATATTGCTTTTGTATGAAAATGAGAGAAAATGACTTGTCTGATACAATAGGACAAGCACATCCTTAATGGGACCTAAGACGCTGCAACCTCGTCTCTGAAACTTTTATTTAAGCAATTGTTGCTTCAGTGATTCAGTAACAATTTGCCCATCTTTCTGGGAAAAAAGTTCAGAATTTAAAAAGATCTATCAAACAGATGGGCACATTTCAAAGTTAACAAATTAAACATATCTAATTCAACCCAACTCAGCCTTAATCCCAACTATTTGGGTTTTGGAGTTGGTTACAGGAATTAATCTTATCTCGCCATTGGACATGTTCTCTGTCATACTTAACAAACATACTGCATGCCCAAAAAAGATAAACGCCAAGAAATGATTTATTCTTCATTTCTCAATCACAATAACACAGCTTTTACAGTAGTAGCTAATAGCTAGCTAGCTAGTTGTCTCTGCTTGATGATATACATAGTCACAATCTCTGCCGTCTTCGTCAAGATACAGGGATCGAACAAGGAGATCATCATGGCCATTTCAATTCAGCTTTCCATCTGGCAAGTTTAGAGCTCATGACCATTTCAACTTTGAAGACTGAGCATCACCTCCCATCAGGCAAGCATAGAGCTCCTCCACCTGCAATGCCCCCGATTTCTCCCAATAAGAATTACTGGGCAAGCTAGATGTGCCATCCTCATCACAAGAATTTGAAATAGAAGTGAGAGCAGGCGGAGTGGAATTTGATCCTCCCAGAAGCATCCCCTGAACCTTTTCTAACTCTTCTCTGAGCTTTGCCATCTCCCTCTCGAGCCTCCTCTTATCAGCTAAGGCGTTTTCCAACTTTAACTGAAGTGCCTTGTAGTCCAGCTCAAGGGTCTGGGTCTTCCACCGAGCTCGCTTGTTCTGGTACCAGATTGCAACCTGCCTTGGATGCAGACCTAGATCCCGTGCAAGTTGCATCTTTATCTCTGGCTCCAGCTTCTTCTCATTGTTGAAGCTACTCTCCAAAAGCCTCACCTGCTCTTGGGTGAGCCGTTTCTTGCTGCGTTTGGGTGGCTGTTTTTGGCTTTCTGATTGAAACAAATCCATAATATCTTTTGGGGCACAGAGAAGACTGGGAGTTCAGAACTTTTGAGAGTGGCACCCTTTAAAGGAGGGCTGGTTTTTTATCGCAGAAAAGGAGAGAGAGAGAGAATGGGGCGGCTGACTTCTTCTTCATGCTGGCGCATGGTGTTCACGTGGGGGTGGACCCACTGGTCTGAAGTAGGGAGAATTCCCTTTTCCTAATCGTTCTACTTCCTATTTGAGCTTGGTTTACATTTTTTTTTTTTCATTCAGATGGTAACTGAGACCTGAAACTATGAATTCATTGCTATTTTTGGTGTAAACTGAAGTCTTTGCAGAGTGCAGAGAGACTATATAAAAACTTTGGATTTACGACCCATCTTTACCCACCACTGCACCAAGTTATAAATTCAGGTCTTGTTTTGAATGATAGATCACTGACAACAAGAATCCCAAATACCCAAAGCTAGCTTTTGATTTGAAAATCAAAAATTTTCCTAAGCAGAAGCTTTCTGCAGTTGTTCTGTTTGTGGGTTGGCACAAGTGATTATTCATGGGACCTACCCTTATGCGAAGAGCTACGTCTCCTGATTGGTTTACACAAAGCATTCCTCTACTGCTATACATTGGCAATTAATTCCCCTCGTCAGTAAGAACACCGGCCCACCCAAATATACAAGCATACACGCAAACGAGAGAAAAAACAAAAACACACAAAGCGTACAAGCACAACCATGAGAAACACTTTTGCAGAGTAGTTCGGCTCAGGTTTTAGTTCCTTGATCACAAAGTTATGTGAGATATATGGCCCACTCAATGGACAATTCACCAACACCAAATGGACTGAATTTTTTTTTTTTTTTTGAAGCTGGTGGGCCTTAATTCCATTGCAGTCCGGATGCTCCCATCTCTTTCTCTCTTTCCTTTTTCCTGTTTAATAAGGTCACTACCCACTGTGCGCTGATAATATTTTTCATTTGTATGGTTAGATTTCTTTTTTAATACAAGATGGATTTGATGTGTCTATCAATTCTTTCCTTTTGGTCGGGAGGTATAAACCAATTGAAATATGAATACATTGGCACTGATCTCATCGTGCTTCAGCCAAAGAAGACATTGAAATTTGTGATTGATGGCATACAGAATTAATTTCCTGTTTTGAATTTCTTTCTCGCTGTTCTGATCTGATCAGATGGTGATGGGAATCAATACCCACTTGCTTATATGTTCATTATTCCTGTATATGCCTTGGCCGTAGTTTATTATTTATTATTTATTTTTTATTTTTTATTTTTTATTTTTTGTTAATGTAAATAAAGGTGGCGTTTGGTAAGTCTTTTCACGTGGTCTTACAATATTTTTAAATTCGAATTAGACAGGGAACTGTTATGGGTTTGGTTCCCGGGCTGAGTGGTCCAACCATTCAAACTAAATGGACGGCCTGACAAAAAATATAAAAAGTAAATAAAATGGCTAAAAACCATTGTTTGGGTCGACAGGTCAACGGTTCAACCTCCCAAGTCAGTGGTTCATTGACCAAATCAACGTTTTTTGGCCAAAAAGCGGTTCTGGGCTGAAACGGAATCAATCAGATGACTAGTTCCCGGTTTTTCCAGTCTGGTCCGGTTTTGAAAACATTGGTCTTTTGGGCTTCAACAAGTTCGGAAGACCGAAAAATCAACCATTTTCCGTTTGGTAACCAAAAGTTAGTAAGACTAGAAGACATATACAGAAAGATCCAAAAAGACTGAGGACACCAAATTTTAGAAGCTTCAAATGAAGCTTTTTGGTGGTTCTTCATGATAAATAGCTTCTAAACATGTTTTTAAAAGCCCGATAGACCTAGCCACTTGCCTAACAATCTTTGTCTTTAAAGTCAGGACCAAGGTTCAAAGTATCACACTTATCCGCCTGTACCGGTCGATATGTATCGTGCCGATGGTTTCCCGATTTGCCCCTCCAGGGGTTGTATCGGGTCAGATCATGGTTCAGAGGGTAGTTGGGACTTAAACCGACCCCTCTAAACTGGTTTTAAAAAAATTAAATAAAATATTAAAAAAACATCGATACAGGCCGATACACCAGTAGCTTGTGTCAATACTTTGAACCTTGATCAATACCCCAAAACTCAATACATCTTTTGGACATCTGAGCAGCTGAAAGATCATTCTAAAAAGACTTCCCAAACTGCAGCATATATTAAACAATTTAGCAACTAATGAAAACTTTGTAACTAATTTATTTATAGATAACACTAATCGTGCTTAAGACAATTATTATAAATTTACATTGACAAAGACAAAATTTAGTAAGGTTTCATTCTGGTATTTATCTTTGCTCACAATAAGAATTTAGGGTTTGTTTCATTTGAAGTCAGAATCGAAATCTTTCGGAATCAGAATTGAAATGATCTATTCCTATAGTCTATTTATTTCAAACAAAATTATGAATGAAAATTAAAATCAGCAGGAGTGGAATTTCATTCCCAAGAGAGGGGCAAAGAATGGCCATTCCCTCAAATGGAGGAGTTCCATTCCAGAAAGAAAGAGAATGAGATTCTAATTTTGCCCAAATACAAAAGAAATTTTTTTAATCTGTTTGCTCCGCTCATCCCTTTATCTTCATCTTAGCTTATATGTGGAGTTCATATAAAATTACTCTGGTTTAAGTTTTTATATCATGAGCAAATTGGAATTAATTTTTTGACATCTCCACTCCAAGTTATCTCCTCTCACACCCATCAACTACTTTTCAAAGGGTATTTCTTTAATTGGCATCATCAACAATCAAATCTCAGCGGGATCTTCTTGGCCAGTGGAAAAGCGAATCCTTGTAAGAGAGGGACTAGTCATTCCAAAACCCTCTTATTTTTATTGAGAGAAAGATTCTTAATTCTATCCTCCTCCAATGGTGATGTTGATGAATCACTATTTATTTCATGATATCCAAAAATTTTGGTAGTTTTCAACAAATTTTAAAATAAGACTAATAGTGAAGTGATCGCATGTCAAATAAGTATGGCCAAAACTCATGGTCTGTTTGGTTCATGGGAATGGGGGTCTGGAATTAGAATCAGAATAAACGATTCCAACCGTTTGATTGTGCAGAATCAAATTCCCATTCCCATTCTATCAAGAATGGCATTCCTCCATTTGAAAGAATGTTTACCTTCCCTGTCCCTTGGGAATGAAAATTCATTCAACTAATTCTAAGGCCCTGTTCACTTTTGGTAAGTTATATATCCGGATAAATGCAATTATTTGGGTAAGTTTTTCCTGGGAAACACTTACACAGGTAAGTATATTTACCCATGTTCTTTTATTTCTCAGGTAAATAAGGCAATGACCATTTTAACCATAGAAATTCATTATTAAAAGGAGCATTTTGTCCCATTCAAGTGTTGGCAACTTTTCCCCTATGTGGGAAAGTTATTCACCCACCTAGTTGAAAAAAGTTGAAAAAAGAACACCCTCTAATTCTTGGTCAACAAGAACATGAGATTCTTGGTCAACAAGAACCAAAATCCCATTAACCAACTTTCCCCCCTCTCCAAATCCAAAAAAAAAGAACACCCTCTAATTCTCATATGAGCTAAATAGATGGGGAATGGATCATTCCAATTCCAACTCTATTTTTATACTGTTATCTCTACCATTGTGATTCAAGCCACCAATATAGGGTTGTAGGGAAAAGGGTTTATGAATCTTTTCCAACCCATAAAAGTCGAAATAAATTCAGATTGAATTAAATCATATATAATTTGCATTTGAATTTTATCCCCCTATTACAAACGCAGAGATAGACTTGATTCATGCTCTACCATACAATTCCTACTTAAAAATTAGGGTAATGGGCTTTCTTCATTTTCTTTATGGCATGATGTATTTGACACCACTATAACGCAGAGCGACCATCTACTTCATGAACAAGAGGTAATGTTATAACCACCTTAAGCCACAAGCAACAACCGACCAAGCATTTGGGCAAACAATGCGAGCACGTGGAAAGGCGTTTGAGTGTTTCTTCTGGGTCCACGACATTTAGGCCCATGGGCCAATAAAAATAAACAAACAAATTAAAGGCGTGCCAACTGCCAACGGCCTATTCCAAAGAAAAAATAGTAGTAATAGAAAAATCATCAATTAATGAGTAACTGGATGACGATCGTCGAATAGACTGTTTGGGGTGTTGAGTGAACTACTTTTCTAGCTTGCATGATCGCCAAAAAGATTCTATTGTCTGTATGAATACGTCTGTTGTCTAATTACAAAATCAACCTCTATTCTGTTAATTAATTAATGTGCATTACTACATCAAAATATTGGGAATATTGATTGATTGGTGTGAGATCCTCAATCAAATTAAACCTTCATGAAATATCTCTGCATTATCATCCTTAATTAGAGTCCCAATCAACTTACGAGTGTAAAGATTATCCAAAAATCTGATTATTGAATCAAATTCAGATAATTCAAATGCGGTGATTGGTTTAATTCAGATATAAAATCTATATTATTTAATTTATTGAATCAAATTCAAATATGACCTGATTCAATTTAATAAATATATAATCCAATTATAGCATTAATATACATATATGAGATTATTTCATCGAACTATATCACAGATTATTTCTTTGTTTTGTAAAGGGTAATTATGGTAAAAACTCAATTAAATCTGATTCAGATTCAGATACTCAAATTAAATGTCAAATTTGATTATCCAAATATTTCATCAAATTCAAATTTGATCCACCTTTTTTAAGAATTCAAATTCAGATATGACCTGATTCGCTTCGAATTCACTATATTTACACCTCTAAATAAACCAGCTACATACATCCTGTAAATTGGATCTTTGTTACCTTACTCCACTTAAACAACGACAACAACAACAGCATACAAGTTGGACCCTCTAGATTAAGCACCAAGCTATACGATTGGTCTTTTCTTACCTTATTCTCCACAGTGGGGAAAAGTACAAGATGAGCTTTCTAATGGCTAGAGTGAATTCTCCAAGTATAA